GACCTGTCCGTCCTCCCTGGACTGACCTATCTCCTCCCTACCTCCCCACCTACACTCACCTTTACTGGCTCCATCCCCACCTCTTTGACCTGTCTGTTTCCTCTCCACCTATCTTCTCCTCTATCCATCTTCTATCCACCTACCCCTCTCTCCCTGTTTATTTCAGAACCCCCTTCCCCTCCCCCATTTCTGATGAAGGGTGTAGGCCCGAAACGTCAGCCTTCCTGCTCCTATGATGCTGCTTGGCCTGCTGTGTTCATCCAGCTCTACACCTTATTATCTCCTTCTCATACGGCTCTGCTTCATAATGATTCTGACAGGCTGCGCACCCCTCCCAGTCTGCTTCACTCTAATCACACAGTTCCACAGTTAGGATAGCTTGTTTACACAACAGCAGAAGGAACTGCTTATTCCAGAACTCAGGTGGGTGACTTTTGCATATAGGCACAAGCAGTTCATATTTGGTGTAGGATTATAAATCATTACACTTGAAATTAGCAGTATATGGACTGCGGGGCTATAACTCACCTCCTCTATCTGAATTCATACTGCTCCAGTTCCTTTCACGTTATACACCAACCTGATTGAATGTGTATTACAATTGTTTCATTGTGCTTGGTCGAAATCCTCAAATTCCTACTTTACAGCATCTTGTGAGCACCATAACCAGGAGGCCTACAACGGTGCAAGAAGGCAGTACCTTCTAATGATAGTAAAGAATAAGCATTAATTTCTTCCTTGCTAGTATAATACATATTCTGAGAACAAATAAAACTAAAATCCTAGTCCGGGTCAAGTCTAAATTTGTAACAATTCTGAACATGTTTATAAATTTTCAACACCAGTAGACATACCAGAGTACTTGACTTCTTAAGTTCAAACTAACCAAATTTACATGGAAAAGTAGTTTTTATTTAATGAATTTCCTTGTATGAGCACAAATTGCATCATGTTGTACATTAATTTCTGAAGTTCAGGTGCAGTCTCTGAATGGTTAGTGAATGTCTTGTACTCATGGTACAGAACTGGGAAGATGTTTTCTCATGTGTATTCATGAAAAATCCTTTCATCATTCGTGAATATATTAAAAATGCAATTTAATCAACTTGCATTTTTTTTAATACTTTTAAGATTTCCAGAACTCTGTAAAGTAAAACAAACCAATATAAAACCTGGCACAGTCAAGCTAGTGTAAGGTAATCCAGGCGAAGAATAGATGGCAATATCTACAATCTTGTCTATAATGGATTATTTATTGGATTCTACCTACATGATGTGATGAGTTTTCGATCAGTTAAGAAGAACTTCTTTTTGTAATATAAATAACACAGTATGGGACTGGAGGAACACAGCAGGCCAGGCAGCATTAGAGGAACAGGAAAGCTGACGTTTCGGGTCGGGACCCTTCTTCAGAAATCTTACTATCTCTTACTATATCTGATTGAGTTATAAACCCACTGCAAAGCCAGTGTTCCTCCAGCTCCACACTGTGTTATCTCAAACTCCAGCATCGGCAGTTCTTACCATCTCTTCCTTTCATAATGCAGCCTTGGCAGATAAAGCATTTTGTGGGAAAGTCATTCAACTGTCAAGAGAAGTAAGTGCTTTGATTTTTGTGGTCTACTGAGATAGATTAATCATGATATCTTCTCTCTTTTGTGACAGATATTAGCTTACCAAAGTCAGCAACAATATGCTACACAGCAGCACTACTTAAAGCAAGAGCAGTCTCTGACAAGTAGGTATTCTCTACCTGATTAATATGAGTGTAATGCCAAGAATGACATTTCTGATCAAAAGAGACTGAAACAGATTAAAATTCTATAGTATAATATCCAGACATGTAGCGCAGTCGAAAATGTGTGCGAAGAGTAGCATTGGAGATCCAAAATGGCATCCATGGTGCATGTATTAACTTGTGGTGTAAGTCACTCTGGATGCCATATTGGCGAGAGTGTGTCCATCAGAAGAATGCAGAGTATGCAGATCATAATGTCAGACAGCATATAATTTGATATCATTTTGGAGATTGCTGCACAAGCTAAAGCAGTTTTTTGATTATTCACATCCGAACGGGATTTAGCAGTAGGAAAGACCTGACACCAGTGGCATTTATAGGTGTCATTGACTTCTCTCTGGTTGGTTGCTAATTGATGCCATTTTTGCTAGAATTAGAGAGGTTTTTGGTGCTTTTTGGAGTTGTTTAAAGTTACTAAAGCATGCATTGAATGGTGTGGTACATTGTAAAGGACTTGGTCCTGCCTTAAGACTTCTGTTCAAAGCATTTACTGATAGATGTTCCACTTCGATACATTGTCACTGGCAGAATGAACAGTGGGCACAAACAGCAGGAAAATCTGCTGGAAGCAGGAGGGTAAGATGGGCTCTCAACAATAGCCCACATCTGCCCAGGGTGTCAAGAGAGGAAATCTCGGACCTGAAACTCAGCAAGGAGTTATACAGAAGATGCCTGTGCTTCAGCAAGGCCATCCTTACTAAAATCTGACATCTGTTGCAGTCACAACTGCGATCTTAATAGAGGGCAAGAATTGCATTGCCAGTGTGGCTATGATTGTGAACTTGCACACATCAGGTCCTTGTAGACTTTTGCAGGAGGTATCAAAAAATTCTTGCAGTTTCTTACCCACATTTCAATACGGACATTGCTAAAGCTCTCTATTCAAAGAACAGCTGACTACATTTCATTGTCTCTTGCCAGGGAACAGCAGGTTTGAAGAACATGTGTCCTTCCCATGACAATGAATGTCAGCTCTGAGCTGGATCCAAACCGGAAGGGATTCCATTCACTGATTGACTAACAGATCTGCCACTGGCCTTGGTGCAGTTCAATGCTCATTATCCTGGCAGCTGTTGTAATGCTGTCATTCTGTGGCAGTCAGCTGCTCTATCAGCATTTGAGCCACCAGAACAGTGGATCACACAGCTGAGCACTCTGGAGCCTGGCTCTCACAGTGCACAGCAAGCATATGATGAAAGCCATGCTGCCACATTAAGTGCAACAGAGAAGAATCTTGGTCTGTTGAAATAGTTCCACTGCCTGCACTGCTCTGAAGGTATCCTGCAGTACTTAGAAGAGTGAGTGTCAAGATTCTTGGTGATCTGTTACTTGCTACACAAACCAGCCACAATGAGAGCACGGCCATTGATACCAGTTGTATGGTGAGCAGGTGGAGGAAGAAGAGAGGAAGCAACCCAGAGAACCCAGTTCTGACGCAGTGGTTCAGGAAGAACTTATTTAACTGCAATAGAAAGAAATGAATCCCCAATTCCCCATTCCATAGTCAATATCTTCAGTAGTTGGACAGCAATAGTCCCACATTTTGTCTTCCCTCTGTCACTAATCATAATCACTTAGCCACAAAGTAATAATAACAATAATGTCATTTTATTTAAGAAATACCTTTATAGCCCAAATGCTGAACTGCAGTGCAACCTACATTGATCAATTCATAGGCTAATTAATCAGGTTAAAACATAGAAATATGTACCAATCAAAATGGGAATGACGCAGAGTCTAGTCTCTCAAACGAAATAAATCAAACCTTAACTTTGAACAGCACAAACAAATTCATAAGTCAAAAACAGCCAATAATGTATATAAATGTCAACTAATCACATTCATGTATTCCCTTAGTGTCTTCTATGTGTCTGTTCTAGAGCTCCTATGCAGTGCAATCCCAGTGGTAACAGCATGGCTGGTTGCAGTATGTTGATGTCCTTGGTGAAGTTTGCAGACGGGCTGGGATATTATTGCAGCAGTCTGGACTGACTGGCTGGTGGGCAAAAGCAGGGTCACAGGCAGTCGTGAAGAAACGACTGCTGTTGTCCAGAGAATGGACCATGGGATTAGAACTTCAGCCCCTCCTCCCAGGTACCTCAGCAATCCTAGCAGTCTATTGAAAGACAAGTTACAGACAGACGTGATTCTCTCAAGCCCCTTTAAACACTGGTGTCTGTGGCCTTGTTGCTAAGAGAAAGAACACGTACAGAGAAAGCTGAGCTGACATCACTGAAATGTGCATTTCTACATCAACATCCACATGTTGGGTTGCCTCTGATTGTTCTGCATTGGAAACTTGAGAGGCTAGTCATCCCAGGCTGTGAGATAGCAAGAACTGCAGATACTTGAATCAGAGATAACACAGTGTGGAGCTGGAGGAACACAGCAGGCCAGGCAGCATCAGAGGAGCAGGAAAGTTGATGTTTCGGATCGGGACCCTTCTTCAGAAATGGGGAGGGGGAAGGGAGCTAGCTGGGAAATAAGTAGTGGGAGGAGGGGTGGGGCTGGGGAAGATGGGTGAGATGTTGATAGGTGAGTGCACGTTGGGAGTGGTGGGGATTGGTCAGTGAGGTGGGAAGGGCGGATAGGTGGGAGAGAAGATGGACAAGTTGTGTCAAGTCAAGGAGGCGGGGATGAGAGGGAGGGTTGAACATGGGACGAGGCCGGTGGTGGGAAATTTTAAAACTGGTGATTTCCATGTTTAGGCCATCGGGCTGTAGGCTTCCAAGGCGGAATATGAGGGGTTGTTATTCTAGTTTGCAGATGGTGTCATTGTGACACTGGAGGAGGCCCAGGATGGACATGTCACCCAGGGAGTGGGAGGGGCAGTTAAAATGGTTGGCGACTGGAAGGTGTTGTCATTTGTCGTGTACAGTCCGCAGATGCTCTATGAAACGGTCTCTGAGTCTACACTTGGTCTCACCGATGTAGAGGAGACCACATTCGGGAGCAGCAGATACAGTAGACCAAGTTGATGAATGTGGAGGTGAACCCCTGTCTAATGTGGAAAGTTTGTTTTGGGCCTTGAATGGAGTTGAAGGGGGGAGGTGTCAGTGTAGGGGTAGGTGTAGCACTTCCTGCGGTCGCAGGGAAAGGTGCTGGGGGTGGTGGGGTTAGTGGGGTGTGTGGAGCGAACGAGGGAATTTACGGAGAGAACGGTCCCTACAAATGGCAGGTAGGGGTGAGGAGCGAAATATCTCTTTAGTTGTGGGGTTGGATTGTAGGTGGTGGAAGTGACGGAGAATGATACGCTGGATGCAGAGGTTGGAGGGGTGATATGTGAGGACAAGGGGGATTCTGTCATTATTTTTGTTGGGAGGTGGGGTGTGAGGGCAGAAGTGCAGGAAATGCAAGAGATGCGTTTGAGGGCATGTTAGATCACCAGAGGGGGGATGTTACGGTCCTTGAAATAGGAGGACATCTGGGATGCTTGGGAGTGGAACGCCCCATCTTGGGAGCAGATGTGGCGGAGGCAGAGGAATTAGGAGTAGGGGATTGCATTCTTGCAGTAAGGTGGGTGAGAGGAGGTGTAGTCTAAGTAACAGTGGGAGTTGGTGGGCTTGAAATAGACATTAGTTTTGAGGCGGTCACCAGAGATGGAGATGGAGAGATCCAGGAAGGAGAGGGAGGTATCGGAGATGGTCCTAAAAGGATGCCAACCATGCATGATTTGGGACCTCTGGTGAGGCTTGCAGCCACTAAACAGCAGACTTAGCTGCACACTACAATCATGTTAGTGAACATACTACCTGCATCAGGAGCAACATGCGTTAATTCCACATCACAATCCCACATCTGGTTTCAAAATTAGGCACTGTTGACTCATTAGATTTTGAGTTTATGGTTTGTGGCATTATTTGAATTTGCGAATGAGATTGTATCCCTCATGTATCTATTATTTATTCTATACTTGAATCTATCCAATGGATTAACGATTGAAATGGTGACCTTCCCTCAAAATTGATGAAGACCACATAACCTCCTTTTGAAATAGAATAAAACAAGGAGTAGAGAGAAAAACCAAAGAAAAAAGCCATAGTTTATGGAAAGGAAAGGTAAATGAGCTGTTGAGCAGGCAACTGTTTGCTAACTGTACTCAAACTAAAAATCATCTGTGAGGACGAACGGTCAGTCATCCGCCCACCACCTCCACAGCCAGCAGCTCCAGAGGAGACAGCAGCACCCAGCCCTGCCGAGTCTTCACCATCCCCCCAGACCTACCCCTTACTGAGGACGAACGGTCAGTCCTCAGTAAAGGGCTCACCTTTGTCCCCTTCCACCCACAGATCAACGAATACCGCTCACGCTTGGACATAGAGCAGTTTTTCCGCCGCCTCCGCCTCCACGCTTACTTCTTTAACCGTGAACCTAACCCTCCCTCTACTGACCCCTTCTCCCGCTTCCAACACACCCCCTCCTCCTGGACACCACCCCAAGGCCTCCTACCCTCCCTCGACCTCTTCATCTCCAACTGCCGTCGAGACATCAATCGCCTCAACCTCTCCACCCCTCTCACCCACTCCAACCTCTCCCCCGCAGAACGTGCAGCCCTCCGCTCCCTCCACTCCAATCCCAACCTCACCATAAAACCCGCGGACAAGGGAGGTGCAGTTGTAGTATGGCGCACTGACCTCTACATCGCCGAGGCCGGACGCCAACTCTCCGACACCTCCTCCTACCGCCCCCTTGATCATGACCCCACCCCTGAGCACCAAACCATCATCTCGCAAACCATCCACAACCTCATCACCTCAGGTGACCTCCCACCCACGGCCTCCAACCTCATCGTTCCCCAACCTCGCACTGCCCGCTTCTATCTCCTTCCCAAAATCCACAAACCTGAATGCCCTGGTCGACCCATTGTCTCCGCCTGCTCCTGCCCCACCGAACTGATCTCCAACTATCTCGACTCCATTTTCTCCCCCTTGGTCCAGGAACTCCCTACCTATGTCCGTGACACCACCCACGCCCTCCACCTCCTCCAGAACTTCCAATTCCCCGGTCCCCAACACCTCATCTTTACCATGGACGTCCAGTCCCTCTACACCTGCATTCCCCATGCAGATGGCCTTAAGGCCCTCCGCTTCTTCCTGTCCCGCAGGCCCGACCAGTCCCCCTCCACTGACACCCTCATCCGCTTAGCCGAACTCATCCTCACACTCAACAACTTCTCTTTCAATTCCTCCCACTTCCTACAGACAAAGGGGGTAGCCATGGGTACCCGCATGGGCCCAAGCTACGCCTGCCTCTTTGTAGGTTACGTGGAACAATCCCTCTTCCGTACCTACACCGGCCCTAAACCCCACCTCTTCCTCCGTTACATTGATGACTGTATCGGCGCCGCCTCGTGCTCCCACGAGGAGCTCGAACAGTTCATACACTTCACTAACACCTTCCACCCCAACCTTAAATTTACCTGGACCGTCTCTAACACCTCTCTCCCCTTCCTGGACCTCTCTGTCTCCATATCGGGCAACCACCTCGAAACCGATATTCATTTCAAGCCCACCGACTCTCACAGCTACCTAGAATACTCCTCCTCCCACCCACCTTCCTGCAAAAATGCTATCCCCTATTCCCAATTCCTTCGCCTCCGCTGCATCTGCTCCCAGGATGAGGCATTCCACTCCCGTACATCTCAGTTGTCCTCGTTTTTCAAGGACCGTAACTTCCCCTCCTCGGTGGTCGAGAATGCCCTCAACCGTGTCTCCCACATCTCCCGCACCTCATCCCTCACACCCCGTCCACGCAATAAAAACCAAAAAAGAATCCCCCTCGTCCTCACGTACCACCCCACCAACCTCCGGATCCAACGCATCATCCTCCGACACTTCCGCCATCTGCAATCCGACCCCACCACCAAAGACATCTTTCCCTCCCCACCTTTATCTGCTTTCCGGAGGGACAACTCTCTCCGTGACTCCCTTGTCCGCTCCACACTCCCCTCCAGCTCCACCACACCTGGCACTTTTCCCTGCAACCGCAGGAAGTGCTACACCTGCCCCCATACCTCCTCCCTCACCCCCATCCCAGGCCCCAAGAAGACTTTCCACATCAAGCAGATGTTCACCTGCACATCTGCCAATGTGGTATACTGCATCCGCTGTACCCGGTGTGGCTTCCTCTACATCGGGGAAACCAAGCGGAGACTCGGGGACCGCTTTGCAGAACACCTACGCTCGGTTCGCAACAAACAACTGCACCTCCCAGTCGCAAACCATTTCAACTCCCCCTCCCATTCCTCAGACGACATGTCCATCCTGGGCCTCCTGCAGTGCCACAACGATGCCACCCGAAGGTTGCAGGAACAGCAACTCATATTCCGCTTGGGAACCCTGCAGCCCAATGGTATCAATGTGGATTTCACAAGTTTCAAAATCTCCCCTCCCCCCACCGCATACCAAAACCAGTCCAACTCGTCCCTGCCTCCCTAACCTGTTCTTCCTCCCACCTATCCCCTCCTCCCACCTCAAGCCGCACCTCCATCTCCTACCGACCAACCTCATCCCGCCCCCTTGACCTGTCCGTCCTCCCTGGACTGACCTATCCCCTTCCTAACTCCCTGCCTACACTCACCTTTCCTGGCCCCATCCCCGCCTCTTCGACCTGTTTGTTTCCTCTCCACCTATCCTCTCCTCTATCCCTCTTCTATCCGCCTCCCACTCTCTCCCTATTTATTTCAAAACCCCCTTCCCCTCCCCCTTTTCTGATGAAGGGTCTAGGCCCGAAACGTCAGCCTCTCTGCTCCTATGATGCTGCTTGGCCTGCTGTGTTCATCCAGCCCTGCACCTTGTTGTCTCGGATTCTCCAGCATCTGCAGTTCCTACTATCCCTGTTATCATTCTCTGTCAGGTTTAAAGTTTCTCTTGATACATTTTTAGACTTCTATGAGGTTTGAGTAATAACAGATGGTGCAATGAGATGTACAGTGTCCATGTCCTTGATTTACTAGGCTTCCAGGAGCCCTGCATGTCCCTTTGTTATGTTCATTGCTGGCTAACAGAGTCATGTGATCTCAGTAAGTAAATTGTGATGAATCGTTTTGTTGCTGTTGTTATAGATTCTCACCAGAGGCTGCCTCAAGGCGAGGGCTGAGTACTGCAGAAATGAATGCTGTAGAAGCAATACACAGGGCAGTAGAATTTAACCCACATGTACCCAAAGTGAGTGGTTGTTCTTCTTGCAATTCATTTGCAAGCCAATAGCTTTGTTTGGTTGTAATGATTAAATATAATGTTACCAGCAGATATAATTGGCTTTCAATCTCTTACAATGTGTCACTGGCGAAGGCATGAAAATCATTTCTAATTACAGGGAATTGGAAGGTATGAGGGAAATATCTGTGACTGACATGTATGTCTAAAATTAACAGTTAAATTAAATTAATTCTAAAATGGATATATTAATCAGCAATGCTGACAAATAGCAGATAGACTATTTAGTCAGTTATAAAACAACAATAATTTTGTGTGAAGCATGTTAAGTTTTTGAAAAAATAATCACTTGTATTTACAATCTATGGTCTTCCAATCATGTCCTTTTAAATTGTTATTTTTCTCAGTATTTATTAGAAATGAAAAGTTTAATACTTCCACCAGAACATATTCTGAAGAGAGGAGACAGTGAAGCAATAGCATATGCATTCTTCCATCTTCAACACTGGAAACGGGTAGAAGGAGCTCTCAACCTATTACATTGTACCTGGGAGGGAAGTAAGTGCCTTTTAGATATTAGTAAACTGAGTTATTTAATCCTTCTTCTTCATTTGAACTTCATTTGTTCTTTGATAACTTCCTTCCTGGTAATATTGCTGTAGTTGTTTCCACTGAACTGAAAATCAACACAATTCTGGAATCAACATTAATTGCGATGTTCCTATGAAATTGCATTCTCCAATTTTTCAACCTGTTCCTGTTGAGCAAAATAGATTGGAAATCAATTATCGCCTTGGAAAACATGCTCAGTGCTTTTCACCACTTTAGGACTTACTAAAGGACTTTACAGCAAATCCAATAACATTGAAACCATTGCTGTGACATGGGACCGCTGCAGTTAATTTGCTCACAGTAAGGTTCCGGAAATATCAACAAGATAGTGGCAGAGAATCATTTTTTAGCATCATTGATAGCCAGGTAGATATTAGCCAGGACACTGGGTGGGATTCTCCTGCTCAATATGGAATCTTTATATCCACCTCACAGGGCAGAAAGGGTCTCAATAAAAACCGAAAGAACTGCGGATGCTATAAATCAGGAACAAAAACAGAAGTTGCTGGAAAAGCTCAGCAGGTCTGGCAACATCAGTGAAGAAGAAATCAGAGTTAACGTTTTGGGTCCGGTGACCTTTCCCGAGTTCTGATTTCCAATCTACTTTTCTTCACAGATGCTGCCAGACCTGCTGAGCTTTTCCAACAACTTCTGTTTTTGTTCCGGAAGAGGTCTCAATTTGGCATCTCATGAAAGATAGCTCCTGGTCAATGTAGTGTCTCCTTGGTACTTAAGTCACTGGGGTTGGATTTGACCCACATCATCTTTTATTCACTTGCGGAACCATTGGCTGGCCAATGCTAACTGCTTGCACCTAGCTACCCTTGATCCAAGTGGCTTACTAAGCCAATTCAGAGGGTAGTTGAGAGCCAAGCACATTGCTACAGGTCTGGAGTCACATTTAGGCCAGACCTGGTGAGGATGGCAGATTTCCCTCCCTGAAGGGCATAGTAAGCCAGATGGGATTTTCCAACAACTGGCAATAGTTTCAACATCATCAGTAGATTCTTAGTTCCAGATTTTTTTAATTATTGAATTCAAATTCCACCTTCTGCCATGGCAGAATTCAAACCTGAGTCCCTAGCACATTAACTGAGTTTTTGAATTAATAGTTTAACGATAATACCACTAGGTCATTGCCTCCCCTTTATGATTCAAGGGTGACAGTGCTACTAAGAGTGATCTACAAAGTATTACACTGTGATGTTTGCACAGTATTATTTCTTACTGTCTATATCTCAGCTTGTAGGATTAAATTTCAGATGTTAACTTAAAGTTGCCTAGGTTTTTGCTCCCTTAGAGATGAAATTGTTCTTAACAACAGTGTGCAAGAATTAAGATTTCTCTTTTTTTCCACTTTTTTTCCTATTTTGCTCAAAGTACTCACAGGAGCCTACAACTTTTCATTCTTCTAGAATCTTGTATTATAGAGCTTAAAGAAATACAACTGACTGACCATTTGAAAAACACGATCAAAATTGCTGCTCAGTTTGCAATGAACATGAACAGGGATCGGTACTGGATCCACTTTCGTTTGTCATTTATATAAATGATTTAGATGAGAATATAGAAGGCATGGTTAGTAAGTTTGCGGATGACACCAAAATTGGTGGCATGGTGAACAGTGAAGAAGATTATCTAAGAGTACAAAGAGATCTTGATAAATTAGGTCAATGGGCTGAGGAGTGGCAGATGGAGCTTAATTTGGATAAATGTGAGGTATTGCATTTTTACAAATCCAATAAGAGCACAACATATACAATTAAAAGTATGGCCTTGGGTAGTGTCGTAGAACAAAGACCAAGGGGTTCAGGTACATAATTCTTTGAAGTTTGTGTCACAGTAAACAGGGTGGTTAAGAAGGCGTTTAGCACACTTGCCTTCATTGCTCAGACCTTTGAGTATAGAAGTTGGGACATCATGTTAAGGTTGTACAGGATGTTGGTGAGGCCTCTTCTGGAGTACTGTGTCCAGTTCTGATCACTCTGTAGGAAGGACATTATTAAATTGGAGAGGCTTCAGAAAAGATTTACCAGGATGCTGCTAAGAATAGAGGGTATGAGTTATAAGGAGAGGCTGGATAGGCGAGGACTTCCTTCACTGGAGCGTAGAAGGTTGAGGGTTGACCTTATAGTGGTTTATAAAATCATGAGGGGTATAGGAAGGTAAATGACAGATGTCTTTTCCATAGGGTGGGGGATTTCAAGACGTGGGGGCATATTTTTAACATGAGAGGAGAAAGATTTTAAAAAGGACATGTGGGGCAATTATTTTACACAAGGTGGTTTGTGTGTGGAATGAACTTCCAGAGAAAGTGTTGGATGCGGGTATAGTTACATTTAAAAGACATTTCGATAAGTACATGAATAAGAAATATTTGGAGGGATATGGGCCAAGCGCATGGCCGGTGGGATTAATTTAGTTTATGGTTATGGTTGGCACGGACTGGTTGGACCGCAGAGTCTGATTCCATGCTGTATGACTCTATGACTCTAGCCAACATAAATGATATATTCGTGCTCATCGCATATGAATTGCACGGTTTCTGCTAGAACTGGATGGAGAAGATACAGCATAAAAGAAGATTTACAGATCAGAGTTTGCAGATTATAGTAGACAGTTGGCAAGCATTGAAATGTTCTCTACAGAGTAGAGGAATCATCTATTTGGTTCTTCACATGAGATCCTTTATGTCATTACCTATAAGAAACATTATGGAATAATGTCCAGAAGAAGATGTCAGACTTGAAGAGAAGTGCCAAGGTGAGAAATTAGAATGAAGATGAATAAATCCAGCAACTGACAAAAATCAAAGTTAAAAATATGCCACAAATTTGCTTTGCTGCTATAGTATGTAAACCCCAAAGGAAATTTGCAATTTGCAAATGCACTGAAAAGAGAAACAATGAGCATGGTTGAAAAAGAATGTGGAATGATGCATCAGGGAAAGATTGAAATAGATTAGATTTCACATGTACCACTCCCTGATATAGTGCACTCAAACATTCTCACACACCTTTTGTAGATAAGACACTTTATATTCAGGTGGCAAAAGCCTTAACAACTCAAAGTTTCCACCCCTTTGAGAATGCTATCATTAACCAGGAAGGTGTGTGTATATATATCATGCATGAAGTACAATTTGGAGGAGACACATGTTTCTGAGTAGAAATGTAATATCACCACCAACTCTTTCAGGCCTCTTTGTGATTCCAGTCTCAGGGAGCAGGTATGAAATAGTCAAAAGCATGAATGTGTGCAACAGTCACTTGCCTCCTCATACAATGTGTCTGAAATTGCTTCATTATGCCTTTTTTAACCACTTGCATATTATGAAGAAGCAGATTGTTCTGCTTGCTGCCTTTTGCAATATGCAGCGTCGGTGCCCATGATGGAATGGAATATGGTGATAAACACAATTTTAGTATCTCTCAGGAATGTCCTCACTAATGCCGTCAAGACTTAGAGGGCTCTAAACCATGACTTGGTAATAATCTGCTGAGAGATTCAGAGAATTTAGTGCTCCAAGGACTCAACTTCCAATCTAAATTAGCAGCACAAAGGGATGCATTTAGTTTTCAAATTGCTCACAGTTTGTTGTTTGCTCCTTTCAGACAAGGGACAGGAAAAATCCATGAAAGCATATTGTATCTCAATCATTTTCTAAACAGGTAACCCCTGTTAATAATTAAATATCTTAATCATATAGTTCAGGGCTGTTGTGGTGTTCTGGTAGAGTCCCTACCTCTGAGCCAGGAGGCTTAAGTTCAAGTCCCACCTAGTCTAGAGGTGTGTGATGTCATCTCTGGAAAGGTTGATTTAAAAGTATCTTGAGCACCTTGTTGATATTAAGATGGGTCATGTAGTACAGTGATAGTGTCCCTTGTTCTGGACCAGACAGTCCAGTCCAAGTCCAGAGACATATCTGGACAGGTTGATTTTCTTCTGATTAAAAAGGTGAGAAATCTGGAAAACTGAGTGTTTGTTGGGAAGGAGGCAAATAATTGTCATTTTGTTTTGTAAGCGATAGGTGCCTCATTCCCTACCTTTTCATCTGGCGGTCTGATGTCTTACGTGGTCACAGAGAATGATTGATTGTTTAAAGGTGAAGATTGGAAGCTAAAGAGTTTGTGTCAGATAGAAGTTGTAATCTGAGTTAATTTTCTGAAGAACAGTTGTCAGGGTATGTGTACAGTGTAAGTTGTCAGGGTATGTTGACCCTCTGATACTCCCGGAAACCGAACCTTATGACGAGAAAATGAAGTAGATAGGTGGACATGGGGGTTTTGCCCTTACCAGAGGGAAAGCAAGGCATTGGCGTTGATGCTCTCTAACAAAAGTAAAATCAGAAGCTAAGCATTTTGTGACCTGGATGTCCATCAGCTGGATACTGATGAAGGTTTGAATCTACTATTAAGCCAAATGGATGAAATTTACAAGAAGAATTGTCTAATGGGTGCTTACAGGATGTAGTAAGATTTGGATAGATTTTGAAAGAGAGTCATTCCTTATAGGAATATAATACTTTAACAGACTGTATAAAAGATTGCAGAAATTCAATTTGGGGATTTCCTATTCAATACTTGTGTTTAAGTTGCTGGAGTGTGCTAATATATCACATGTGAATAGGCTTCAGGTCTTAATGGACATTTGATTCTCTGAAAAAGACACCCAGTTGGATCAAATATCTGCTGCTTTTAACTTTGCAACAACTTTGATGGCATAAACAGGACATTTTGTGATGTTACAAAGGATGGAAGACTTGATGATTGTGGCTCTCAAGATCATTCAGATAATGGCGAGCAGGTGTCAGTGCAACAGACAAGCTACAAACAGATGAATGAGGATGAAGGCTCTGTTAGCATTGCTTAGTTTCACAGCAAAAACAGTATTAGGGTAGCAATAATATAGACAAATGAGCCCCAGAAATGCCTGAGGAACTGTAAGCAGGTGCTTCAGAAGTGACACAAAATGTCATAAATGATAAACTACCCAAAGTGGAACAGTGGAGTTTTGATGCAATGCATAATGCACAGAATTCAGAAGTCAAGGAAGATGTTAAGGATCAATCTGAAGGAATTGCACTGATAACAAGAGGCTTGAGTCTGCTAATGAGTGTATTTGTCAATGATTCATTAATTGTGCCATGTTAGATAGTGTTTGCATCTTGACAGTGTATGGAAATAAATCTATTAAAATGTTACTTCGAGTCATTCAGTAACAAAGATCGAAGTAACATTTTAGAGTACAAAAATTTGATTTGTTTCAGGGTTACAGATTACAACACATAGATGTCACTAAAAACAGCGATGATTCTATGCAAAATAGCTGAATTAAGCCACTTTGTTAGTATTGATTTAGTTGGAGACCCTTGAGATACCCTTTATGCATAGCAAACCTTCCATGAAAAAGCTCAAACAAAATTAGATGGGGACTATGCAAAATATGAAATATCAACAATTGTTCCGGGAATGTCTGCAGTTTATCTAATAACTTAGATAATTGCATCATTTTAAAAATACTGACATTTCTAATCAAAAAGTTCAAAAAATGTTAATGACATTGAGTGATAAGAACTAAAAATAAAAAAGCAAAACGTCTTAAAAGTCATGCCAATAATTTGATCACCCTTCTTGTCAATGATTTTGGGGGGGCACAGTAGCTCAGTGGTTAGCACTGCTGCCTCACAGCACCAGGGACTGGGTTCAATTCCACCCGCAGGTGACTGTGTGGAGTTTGCACATTCTCTCCGTGTCTGCATGGGTTTCCTCCGGGTGCTCTGGTTTGCTCCCACAGTCCAAAGATGTGCAGGTTAGGTGGATTGGCCATGCTAACTTGCCTATAGTGTCCAGGGGTCTGTGAGTTAGGTGGATTAGACATGGGATATGCAGGGTTACAGGGAAAGGGCAGGGGTATGGGTCTGGGTGGGATGCTCTTTGCAGGGGTGTTGTGACTTGTTGGGCCGAATGGCCTGTTTCCACACTGTAGGGATTCTATGATGATAATTATGATTACAAATCTTATTAAAGGATATATGTGGTTGATGATATGTACAAAGGCTCATTGAAGAGGTAGGTGAAAAATGTGATTTATGTAATGAATATCCAAGGGCACCACCATGACCAAATGTAAAAATTCCATTGTCACGAGACTTTAATAAGTTGTTAATCTATATTTTGGCTGGATACTTCAATGTCGATAGCTAAGGGTGGCTCGGTAGAAGCGCCACTGATTTAATTGGCTGAATCCTGAAGGAAGTAGCTGCTAGGTTGACTCTGCGACATACAGTGAGGGAACCAACAAAAGGGAAAAGCTTACTGACCTCAAACTCACCGACCCATTTGTCCCAGGTGCATCTGTTCATGATAGTAATGGTAGGAGTGACCACCGCACAGTCCTTGTGAAAATAAAGTCCCATCTTCACTTGGAGGAAACCCTCCATTGTGTTGTGTGGCACCATCACTGTACTAAATGGGAAGGGTTTTGGACAGATCTGGTACTGAAGACAGGGCATCTATCATCTGTAGCCACAGAATATGGCCTAGCATATCCTTCACCCGACCATTACCATCAAATCTGGCTCAACAAAGAGAGCAAGAAGTGCATTTCAGAAGCAGCATCATGGATACCTAAAAATAAGATAACAGCCTGCTGAAGTTACAGCATAGGATTACTTGCATGCCAAGCAATGGAAGCAAGATGCAATGAACAGAATTAAGTGAACCCATAGCCAACAGACCAGAACTAAGCACTGTAGTCCTGCCACTTTCAGCCTTGTATGGTGACAGGCAGTTAAAGAACTAACATGAGGAGAGGCTCCAAAATATCCCAAACCTCAATTGTGAGGGAGGCCAGCATATCAGTGCAAATGAAAAGGCTGAAGCATTTGCAAACATCTTCAGCCAGAAGTGATGATTGTATGATCCCACTTGGCCTCCTCCTAAGATCCCCAGAATCACAGGTGCCAGTCTTCAGTCAATTTGATTCACGCACTAGATACCACAAAGGCTGTTGGCTCTGAAAACATTCTGGCAATACGACTGAAGATATGCTCCAGAACTAGCTGCACTCCTAGCCAAGTACATGTACAACTCTGGCATTACCCAGCTATGTGGAAAATTGCCCAGGTATGGCCTATTCACAAAACCAGAACAAATCCAACCTGGCCAAATACCACCTCATTAGTCAACTGTCAATTATCAGCAAAGTCATGGGAGAGGTCATCAACAGTGTTATCTAGCAGCACTTGCTCAAAATTAACCTGTTCCCTGATGTTTACTGTGGGTTCCAGCAAAGTTACTCAGTTACTGACATCATCAGAGCCTTGGTCCAAACATGGATACAAGATCTGAACTCCAGATCTGATGGAAGAGACAGTACCCTTTACATCAAGGCAGTATTTGACTGAGTGTGGCCTCAAGGAACTCTAGCAAAACAGAAGTGAACTTGAATCAGAAGGAAAACTCTCCACTGATTGGAATCATACCTGGGACACAGGAAGATAGTTGTGGTTATTGGAGGCCAATCATCTCAGCTCCAGGACATCCCTGCAGGAGTTCCTCAGGCTAGTGCCCTCAGCCTAACTATCTTCAGCTGCTTCATCAATGACCCTCCAGCCTAAGGTCAGGAGTGGGGATGTGTGCCAACACTTACACAATGTTCAGCACCATTTGTGACTCCTCAGATACTGAAACAGATCATATCTTGGACAACATAGTGGCTTGAGCTGAGAATTATAAATATCCTTCATGCCATAAGTGTCAGACAATGTACGTCTCCATCAAGAGAGAATCTATTCATTGGTCCTTGACATTGATAATCAATGGTGTTACCATCACTGAATCATCCATTATCAACATCTTGGGAGTTACCATTGACCATAAACTGAACTAGACCAGCTATATGATTACTGTGGCTACAAAAGAGGTGAGAGGCTAGGAATTCTGCAGTAAGTAACATGCCTCCTACCTCAGCCATGCCTATCCACCAACTATAAGGTTACACGTCAGGAGTATGATGGAATATACTACACTTGCCTGGATGAGTGCAGCCCCAGCAGCATCAAGAAACGCAGCATCAAGAAACTCTACATCATCCAGGCTAAAGTTGCTCACTTGATTTAACACTTAACTTGCACAACACCATATCTTGAATATCTACCCTTACCTATGCATACTAGTGTCTTTTTGCTAATTCCTTCAATTTTCCAGACAGCTACTGGCCTTTTAAAAACTAGAGACAGATCTTTAATAGCTCCTGGCTTGCTTGGTTTTGCAACTTATGTCTGCCTCTTTCCTTTCCGATTCATTGCTCTTAACTTCCACGAGTGGTTAAAATATTAAGATAAAGTGAAGCGTTTGCCTTGCAGCTTTCAAGAAAACAAAGCCTCCCTAATTGCTGATGTGAATATAGCCTCATAGTGGCTGGAAATAAACTCCGTTTTGCCAGTATCTTGAACTCGGGGCTTTTAGTGTCTTTTACTATAAATGCTTCAAGGTAAAGATATGCAACAGTTCCCCTGTTAGCCACTTGGTGGCATTGTAAATTGCATCATGGTTTTAAATATCAAAATTTTGTTTTGATGTTGTTAACAAAACTCATTGAAGACAGGAAATAATCCTTGGTCAACATTTATTTTTAAAGAAAAATACATTTTAGTCTAGAGAGGTTAATTTGCTTTCTAAGAAATTTGTGCTGGAGTTACATTTCTGAACATCAATCAATGCAGTTCCCCACAACTCTCTTGCTCAATGTTATAAGCAAAAGTTATCGTTTTATTTTGCAAAATTCAGTACAACAACTGAATCAGCCTTAAGCCTGGGCTGGTCACATAGCTAGATTGGTTATATACACAGTCCTTCTTAAGTAATCAACCATCAATGACCTATAACTCACTGTCTAAACAAAGGCAAGACTCAATGGTAATAACTAAATACTAGCACATCATTGTTGGTGTACTTACACTTAATGGACTGGACCAGTTCAAGAAGACAGTTCACCACCATCTACTTAAGGGCAATTAGTGACAGACAATAAATTGACAGCCATATCCCAGTGAGGATGGACAATAAATGCTGGCCTAGAGATTGACATCCTCATCCCAATGAATAAAAAAAATTAAAATGAATCTCAGCAGTTAATCCCATTTTAATTAAATATGGACAGACCTTAAAAAACTCCAAAACGGGTTTCTTTGCCACTTCAGCCTAGCTGTAACTTTGTAATGAGTTAAATTCCTATCTGCCATAGAAATACAGTAAGTTCACACCACTCAATGAATTTTAATAGTGAACCAGACAGTAAACATGAAGACCCATTTGTCAGTGCAATCCTTTCAAGATGTGAACTTTCTAAATATTTTATGGTTGCAATAACAAATACACTCTATTTCAAAAATACAGTTACTCTGAGTACTGAGCTATTGCGTTCAAAATAAATCATCCTCAAAGTATTAGGTTTAAATGGGTGACCAGCTGTGAATTTGTTAAAAAAAATTTGTTAAAGTTTTCTTTGAGTGCCTGCAGTTCAATTCGGAGGTTTAAAGTCCTGACAACTTTTAAATATCCCACATACTTTCTTCCTTTTGTAGCATTTGGTATTTCAAATAATTTATCAATTACTGGATGGCAAGGAGCTATAAATACTTACTTATCGAGAAAACAGGGATTTTAAAAACTCTGTCTTCTTAATTTTTACAACTTGTGTTAAAAATAATCGAATAAAACATTTGTCTTTCTTCAGCTTTTCGAATGATCCCCTATCCCTTGGAAAAAGGTCACCTTTTTTATCCATATCCAATTTGCACAGAGACTGCAGACAGAGAATTGCTGCCATGTAAGTTAATGAAAGATATCGCATCTATATCCACTTAGATATTCACTGTCATAATTATGTTAACTCTTTTTAAATTCCTGTTTAGAATTTACACGAACTGCTTTGCTTTACAATTGGTGAACCTGTTCATTGTACTGTATTTATTCCTACTTTGTGTGTAGATTTGTAAATAAATATATGCCCAATAGTTAGTTAATATAGCAAAAGAATGGACCAATCCCTCTATTAATTCCATATTGTGTAACCTAAACTATTGTTCCTATTCATTCCCTAATCCAGTTGATATTCCTTTCAAAAAACTATCTTATTCCTTTTTGTAATAATATATCGATTCTACTTCAGCAATGATTTATAGAATTGCAATTTATTATTTGTTAATTTTTTAAAAAATGTCCCTTAGAATCTGTTTTGTAAATTGTAATTTTCCCAAACAGTTAACATTCTATCGCTAATTACCTTATCATAACTGTTCATGATCTTTAAGACATCTGTGCATTATCCTTTGTCCTCCTGAACAAAGCTCAAAGTTTTTAATATTTTGTTTATACTTATAACTCCTCATTAATGATAACATTCTAGTGAGTTCATATTGCATTTGTCATTGTTTTCATTTCATTCTCTCAGTGGAAACTCAGATTTGCACATGATTGTCCCATCAATGACCCAACCTAAGGTCGTACACATTCACTGTTACCTTCTTGGATTTACATTTATGCCTCTAGAGTAAAAAAATCAAAGAAGTTTATTTGCCTGAAGTCTTTGTCTACATATGTTGACTTTAATATCATGTGTGCCTACACATCAAGTTTAGCTTTCAAATCCATGTAAAATGTTACCATTTTGTACTTCCTTCCCCTGTAATGCTTATGAAATGTACTGTATCATATCTTCTGAAATTTTTACACCAGTCACCTATCAATCCATCTACTATTCATGTCCACCTATTGTATGTATTTCAATATCCTCATCAAATATTCCCATTTTCCCCAATTTATTTTGGGCCATTTATCCATCACTCTTTTCTCAAAACTAAAAACTCCCTATCCAGCAACAATCAAAATGAGATAAATACTTGAAAGGGGGAAAACTGGCGGAGAGTAGGGAAAGAGCATGCCGGTACAACTAGCTGAATAACTGTTTCAAAGAGCTAGAAGAGGCACAGTTGGCTGAATGGCCACCTTCTGCATTATTTGAACCCCCAATACATTAGGTTTAAAATCTCTGTCTCCTTCTTTGAATTCTCCATAGCTTTGCTCCAAACTACCTTGCAGTTTCTTTCAGCTCCACTGCACCTCCACTCAACAATGCAATGCTCTGAATCTGGCTTTTTATACTTATCCCTCCATCCCGTTACTTGAGGCAGAATTTGGATACCAAGCAACACCTCATACTTTGGAATTCATTACTAATCTGTTCTGCCTGTTCCTCTAATTACATCAAAGCCATCCTCTCAAACTAGTATTCTAATCACACCCTCGCTTTTTCATAAACCTTTGTGAAGTGCCTTTAGACACTCTGTAAATGGAAGCTGCTGAATGCTAAAAGATGCTGCCACCATCTACATCACAAAGTAATTGCACCAAGCAACATCTTAGCTCCATAGCTTCCACCATGGCCTAAAGTCACTCTTCAGAGCCCCCCTGCAATCGTCTCACTTATGTCGTCTTCATTTTCTTACCAATCAGAACACGTGGAATCACCAGTAAATCCAGCGTTTGTTGCCCATCATTAATTTCTGTTGAGAATGTGCTGATACACTGCTGTCTTGAACACAACTGAGTGGCTAACTAAGCCATTTCAGGGGCAAATAAAAGTCAACTGCATTTGTGGTGGTAGCTTAAATCTCCAGACCTTTGAATTAATAATCCAGCAAAATAAGTACAAAACTGTACAGGAGATCGGTGAGGCCGCTTTTGGACTACAGTTCTCGTCAAACTGCAATAAGAAAGATATTATGAACTGGAAAGGGTGCAGAAAGAATTTACAAGGATGTTACCAGGACTGAAAGGTTTGAGCTATAAGGCGAGGTGGATAGGCTGGGACTTTCTTCCCTGGAGTGTAGGAGGTTGGTGATCTTATAGAGGTTTATAAAACCATGAGAGGCATATATAAGATAAATAGCCAGGGTCTTTTGCCTAGGGTAGGGAAACTAGAGGGCATAAATTTAAGGTGAGAGGGTGGCGTGTATATGGAATGAACTGCCAGAGGAAGTGGTAGAGGAGGGTACAATTACAACATTTGAAAGACATTTCGAGAGGTGCGTGAATAGGAAAGGTTTAGTGGGATAGGGCCAAAAGCAGGCAAATGGGACTATTTTAGTTTGAGAAACCTGGTCGGCATGGACGAGTTGGACCAAAGAGCCTGTTTCTATGCTGTACGACCCTATGACTGTACCATACCCTCATTAACATCCCTTTTTGAATATCATTAGTATAGTTATCCTGACCTGTTCCTTTTGAATTGTATTTGATTCGTGGTCTGGATCCAAGGACTGCAATTTATTTGTCCCTGAATTTATAAAAAACTAACTTAAAACAGGAAGGCTTCAGAAGAAGAGTCATATTGAACTAGAAACATTAACTTTGTTTCTCTCTCCACAAAAGCTCTTCAGACCTGCTGAGTTTCTCCAGCACTTTCTGTCTTTATGTAATGATCCTATAACAGTATGCTATGTGAAAATATTTAGTAAATACATATTTTTATATCTATCATCCTTTCTATCTTTTTCTGCCTTGTTACCTCTTTATTTTTGACTTTCTTTCTCTCTTTATGTTTATCATTGTTCCTGGGTACTTGTTTGTTTTTATCTTGATTCATTTTATTTCTGTCTGTTTCTTTCTTTCTGCCTATCTGATGCTATGTGTTCATATCCAGCATTTCATGAAGTTTCAGTGTATCCCAAGAAGGAGCTTCCATTCTTCATCCTGTTCACAGCCGGCCTGTGCTCCTTCACTGCCATGTTGGCTCTCCTCACACATCAGTTTCCAGAACTCATGGGAGTCTTCGCGAAAGCTGTAAGTATCTTTTCAAGTCAGTTATAATGCTGTAAAATAAGCTCCAGCAATACTTAAGGATGTTTCCTTGTATTCGTGCAGTATTTTATTTTCATATTCTAAAACTAGGTATAGAAATAGGTCATTCAGCCCCTCAAACTTGACACTTCTGTCTGGGAAGTCATTTTGTCTATTCTTCTGGGAGTACTTTAGGAATGCAATGCAACATTGTATTTGTTATTTTGATTGACTTTTCCTTTTCTAACAAAATAAAAAGAGAACGCATATTTATTTTATCTTTATCATTGCTTCAGGGTGTCACAAAACACTTTATAATTAACAAAGTAGTTTGAAGTCTAATCCCTGTTATAATGTAGGCAAATCCAGTAACCGAACTGTGAACATAAACAGCAATTGAAATTAATACATAATCTGTTCTTAGTTGCGATTGATGGGTAAGTATCCCAAATCCCAGCCTAACCCTTCAACACTCCTCAAACTTTCTCTATTTTAATCAATCCTACTGCCATTGACCCAAGCTTGACTTACTCACAGATAAGCCAACATTTTCACTCTATGCCTGTTGTGTCATTCTCTGAAGGCCCATCATCACCGTCACTTTTCAGCAGTAACCTAACTGCCCCATTAAACTCTTTTACTGGTCTTTTCACCCAACAAGCCTGCTGGGGCCTATTCTGGCCAATACCTTTGCCATCCCCGTCTCCTCTGCTGATGCTGACACACTGGATTCTGCGAGAGGATCCTACCCTCCTTGCTTTACCCTCCAGAACATCCATTCACTCATAACTTCAGGGATGGCAAGGGCCTTATTGTGGATGGTTGGGTAATTCTGGCCATACCTTCCACAAATTGTCCCGCTAAACCAGAGCACTGACAATGTGGATGTTATTACCAAATTATACTTTCAGCTGCCTTCCTGTCCCTCTGGAGCATTGCCCACTTTGAGAATCTCACCTTCTTCTACCAATGTTCAGTGATTAAAAATCCATCTCACTAAGCATGCTGTCCCTCCTTTGTGAGTTCACTGCCCCCCTGTAATCTCTTGTTCTGTATAAACTCCCCTACCTATATACACAGCCATCCCATTTACCTAGATATCTTACATAGCCCCTCGATTCCTATTCTTATCTTGCAAGGCCTTGATTTTAAAAAATTGCTTTATTGTTTTCCATTTCCTTGCCTCTTCTGATCTATTTACTTCCTCTAGGCCTAGAACACCCTGCGATCTCTGCACTTCTTAGATTTTGGCATCAATCCCAGTTTGAATAGCTCCACAACTTCAATTGAAACATAGCCCCCCAGGTCCTAAATTCTGGAATTCCTGCTCAAAACCTCTCTGCCTTCATAGGTATCTCTAAAACTCTCCATGAATGCACCTGTTTGACCAAGCTTTAGCTCATCTGTTCTAATCTCAAAGTGTTGCTTTGATAAAACTTCAATAATGCACCTTGAGCTGTTATAGTACATTAAATGCATCATTTAAACGCAGATTGTTGTAGATGCTATTGTTGTAAACATTGCTTTTCTTCAAATAATGCTGCGTTTACTTATAGACATTTACGGTTCAGAAGGAGGCCATTCAGCCTATCATCTCCACAAAGCTCAACAAAGATCTAACTGCACTAATCCCATTTTCCAGCTTTTGGCCCATAACTCTGGAAGCTATGGCAATGCAAGTGAATATCTAAATACTGTTTAAATTTTGCAAGAGTTTCTAACTCAGCTACCCTTTCAGGCAGACTCTTACCACTCTCTGGAAAAAAAGTCTCCCCAACTGTCCTCTTAGCCTTCCATCAAATACCTTAAATCCATATGTCCTCTGGTTATCTACCCCTGTACTAATGAAAAGGTGCCTTCCTATCCTATCTCTATGTCTCTCATAACCTCATACACCTCTATCCCCTCTCAACCTTCAAGGCTGCATGGAAAACAACTCTAGCCTATCCAATCTTTCCTCATAGCTCATACTGTCCAGCCCAGACAGCATCCTAGTATATTTCCTCTGCATCTTCTTTGGTCTAGTACCATCCTTCCTATACTTTGGTGACTAGAATTGCATGTAGTATTCCAGTTTTGGCCAAAGCAGCCTTTTATACAGTTCCAGCATATCTTCCCTGCTCTTGTATTCTCTGCCTTGGCTATTAAATATCCCAAGTGCCTTCTTAACCACCTTATCTACCTGCTGTGCTACCTTCAGTATCTGATCTCCCTCTGGTCTTCAGTATTTTCCAGGGTCCTACAATTCATAGTGTGTAGTCCTTTGGCTTGTTAGCCCTCCCCATATGCTTTATCTCTTACTTTTCAGGGCTCAGTTCTAATTACCACTGCTCTGCCCAGCTGACCAGTCTGTTGATATCCTCCTGCAGTTTATGGCTTTCCACTTCACAATTTAAGATCCAAATCCTTAATGTACACCACATGCAGCAAAGTCTCCAGTACTGGAGCCCTGAAGAGCTCTACTAGAAACAGACCTCCTGTCACAGAAACATCCCTCCAGTGCATCCTCTGCTTCCTGCTTCTCAGTCAGTTTTGGATCCAACATCCCACTTTGCCTAAAGTTCCATGGATCCTTACTTTCTTGACCAGTTTTCCATGAGGGACTTTATCAAAAGCCTTGTTAAAGTCCTTGTAGAATACACCAAATACATTAGGGGGCCCTCTTGTGGTGCAAGGTGGAATTCCTCCCCCTGGACTGGGAGGCCTGGGTTCGAGTCCCACCTGCTCCAGAGGTGTGTAACAACATTCCTGAACAGGATGATTAGAAAAATAGGGTACATTACCCTGATTACAGTCCTCCCAAAATTTGATAAAACTTGTCAGTCACAACCTTCTCTGAACAAATCCGTGATGATTATCCCTGATTATTCCGTGTCTCTTCAAGTGTAGATATATACAGTCCGTCAGAACTCTTTCCAGTAACTTCCCTACCACCAACATTAGACGGAGTCACCTGTAATTTCCTGGTTAATAATGGGAAGTTAATGGTCTGTGACCTCTTTTACATCCATCATAATGGGCTAGGTTTAAAGTCTTATTTTAGTTTAGTTGGTACACATTACCTCAGTACTGCATTGAGGCTTCAGCTATGCCAGGGCATTGCGAAATGGGGGTCATGAGCAGAAATTTGAGGGTCCCAAGCTCTGAGGCAGCAATGGCTACTTCAGAGTTCGGACTGTGTTAAGACAATTGCACTGTGTCTCTGGCAGATGGTCCCAAGCTATCACAGACCCCTGCTTCCACCTCTTCAGTTCTCACAGAGGGGTTACGACAATTTTCAAGCCTCAAATAAGGGTCAAAGCAGGAAAAGGTTTGAGAAGCACTAAGCTAGATCAAGCCTCTGAAGTGGAACTCCTAGAGGAGAGTATATTAGGCTGAATTTATGTTGTATGTGGTTCTCAAGGATTTTCTTTGCTCCTATGACTGGAGGTAAAAGTTCTTTTTTCATTTTTCTTTTTTTCTGCACTTTTTTAATAAAGTCAGTATGGATGTTTTCTTTATTTGAATAATGTAAATATTCTACACATTGCTTTGTCATCTCAAAGAAACCGAGAATTGTAAAAGGTGCACAATTATTCAAAATGCAGAAGATTAAGATGAGAACTTATAATTCAGACAATCTTCAATTCAGCCTTCTGTGCAAATGCAAAGATCATTTCATGAGTTGACTGTCTTTAAGCTAAATTTGCTGAATAGATCATTTGGCAATATAGTTTTAAATAGTACTCAACTTCTCAACAACACGATTGAAAATATGTGTGATAAACTATTTCAAACAGTAGTGTGGATGAGGAACTCTACTCACTGGAATTTAGAAGAATGAGAGGCGATCTCATTGAAACACATCGGATTCTTAAGGATCTTGACAGAACTAAATGCTGAGAGGATATTTCCCCTCATGGGCACATCTAGGACCAGAGGACACATTTTCAGAATGAAGGGGTGCCAATTTAAGACTGAGATAAGGAGGAATTTCTTCTCTCAGAAGGTTGTGAGTCTTTGGAACTTCTTGCCACAGAGAGCTGTGGAGGCAGAGTGCTTGTGTTTATTTAAGGCTGAGATAGATAGATTCTTCATCTGTTGGGGAATCATGGATTATGAGGAAAGGGCCAGAAAGTGGATCAACCATGATCCCATTGAATGATAGGGCAGACTCAAGGAGCTCAACGGCCTACTCACATTCCTATTTCTTATGGTCTTATAATCCATGATTCTGTACATAATATTTATTCAGGATCATTGAATTTTCTTGCACATTGCACAAAGAAACATATGTGGTGTTATTTTGAAACTGGAATGGTCTTTCGATGTATAAACATTTTTGTATGGGGAGGATTTTTACAACACCCCACCAGCAAGACTGTAGGCAGAGACCCGTAAAATTCTGAAAGTGGCTTGTACGCTGCCTAGGTCTAAACATCAGCTTTCCTGCTCCTCTGATGCTGCTTGGCCTGCTGTGTTCATCCAGCTCTTGTTATCTTAGCTCCATCCTCACTGGGATTATACAGGCAGCAGGTGAGCTCCCTCACCGTACCCATCCATTCCTGATCTACATCATACCCCACCCTCCCTCCACAGCCAACTGACCATTCATCCTACTCCCACGCACGCTTTGTCTTGACCACACAAGAGCCCCAGACTCTCCTCTATCCAGCTCCTGGCTTCTTCATTGGGACTGGATGCACTCCTAGTAGTGACCATCCCTCGCAAAGACGTTGCTGACAGTGGAGAGCAGCCAGCCAATCAAATGGCCAGCAGGTCTAAAAACTGAGACATCCTCCATAGTTAAGGATGGGAGGCAGCTCCACTTTTTGACCCTCCTCGAAGTTACATGTGGGGCTGATTGGGAGCTTGTATCACTTTCTCTTTGACTCTTTTGGTGGCGTGGCATAGAACACTGCCCATTAAATGCTGCTCAAGATTTTCTTTTGCAGTAGCGAACTAATATCCCACAATGTATCAGGCTATTTAGAGATCCCAACAATATAGAAATCCATATTCTA